CGGGGGGCAAGGGCAAGGCTTTGGGGTAAACTTTCTCATCAGAAAATTAATTTTTGCATTAAAAAATGTTGTTGAACAGAAGAAGAGTTATACAACTTCTTAGAACCGTTACACTGATGGATGTAGCTTTATGCTCATGCAAAGTGAAGAATATTTTCTGTAACCCTCCATTATCTTCTATTAACTTTCTGTTTCTTTTCCCTTACTCAAATATACCAAAGGGAGCAGAATGGAATGGAATAGAACAACTTGGGTGAATGTATTTATAAACTGTTCTACTATGAAGTGCCTATAAATTATTTTTGATATTAATAGTACTCATAAGGCAAAATTTTCACTGAGTCTGTTTGAACTGTGTCTACAATAAATCACACTTTACACATGCAAACTTATTAGGCAACATGCACTGGGTTTTGCAAGTAGTTCTAGCAGTTTATTTATGAGGTGTAAAGTTTTATCCAGAAATGTTACAGATCTGTGAAAATATTCTCCTTACTGTTTAGAGCACAAAGAGAAACAGCAATCACCTGATCTAGTGTTCTTTGCGTTAGGTTTTATGTTAAGACAGGAAATACTCTTAGAGCATGAAAATATTTCCCTTTCCTTCTAGATAAAAGACATTTGGTCCATCACTTCTTTTTGAATGATTTCTGAAATACTAATAGTGTTTCTGAATAAGGACACTTCCTGAGAATATTTTTTTCCCCAATTCATTTGTGTGTTGTTTTTTTTTTCCATACACAATTTATAAAGCATTGTTAGGAGCCAGGTTGATACCATGATAAACAAGTGTATTTATACTTTTTGAAAATTATTATGGTGTTGGCACATACAGTCCTTATATTTTGTTGATGGAAAAGATGGAGGACGCATCAAAGAGACATTGTTAAAATTGCTGGGGTTGCTTGCAGGTTTAGTAACTAACTCTCCATGTACTTTCTGGCTTTTATGAAGAAACGTCTCTTTCCCCTCTTGCCTGTGGGAGGTTTTGATGACATTTTTCTTTCCTAACTGCCCTGTCAGTTTTGCCTGTGTGGATGACTATCTATATAGCTCAATTTGAGACATATCTCAGCAGTAATTGCAAAAAAAGACACAGTGTCTGATTGTCCTCTGGAAGGAGATTAGAAAAATCAGGTTAGTGACTGTTAAGTAAAGATCATGTATTTTGAGTCAGTTTAGGATCTAGGAGAAAGTATCTAGGAACAAATGCGTAAAAATAGTTTGTTTAGATTGTGGACTGGAATACGTATTGTGGAGAGGGCAAAAAAAAATATCACAAATAGCACTTGCATTCTGCTGCTTAACATTTGGACAGAAGTGGTAATAGTAAATACCTTATTAGAAGGTATTTTATAGGATTTCACAAATTTCACAGGCATAGCTGCTTTGCTGTATTTCACTTGGGAATGCACTGAGTCTTTCTTCAAACCTAAGATTTCGGAGGCGGGGGGAGAATTTCTTGACAATCTTGCAAAATGAAAACATACAGTCGTTGGGCTAGGGCGGCCTAAGTTCATTTGCCAATTTGTATACTATATTATGTTATTTATCAAGCCTTACTGTACCATTTTTCTTTCTCTTAAAGACTTACCCACTAAATAGAAGCCCCACCATCTTCTATACTTAGTCATAGTTTCTGAATTTAAACTGTTGAGGAATAATGAACACAATTTAGGAAGGAATGCAAAGAGGGCAACTGTCTGATAGCAGGCAGAGAGAAAACTAAATTGCAACCATTCCTGCAGTAGTGAATTTGGTTTAACACCTTGTATTTCCAAAATCTTGGAAATTAATTTTATGAATGAACTAAGTCCAGGGAATTTTATGGATATATACATGCAGTTCTTCCAACAGTGGCTCCTTTAAAATCTGCCACAATCAGTTCTTGGACTAGCAGTAACAAACACCCTATATTCACAGAGACCTTCACTTGCCCATAAAATAATGAGATCTCTGTAGTGCAAAGTGGGTTGGTTGGTATGTCATGCTCCAAAAGACTTCTTGTCAGAAGAACTGCTAATATTTTATCTATATTTTACAGTTTCCATTTGCATTGAGTTCCACTATGTTGAGCCTATGCGACTGTTTTGAAGACAGAAACAAAAGTGATCTTCATAGCATTGGAAACAGGATTCAACCAATTTTAAAATATAAGGCCTCAAACACAAACAAGTCCTCCGTGTCTTTCTGGTTTTATTGCAGTTTTCTTAGATAAGTAAAGATCATCTGGAGTTCACAGAAAATGTAATTTAGTTTCTTTCCTTGTCTGTAATAAACTGAGACTCCTGTTCCCTCCATCCCCCACCCTTCTCAAGTAAAATACATTTGGAGTGCAGCTATGTTATAATACAGAAAAGGTACGTGCAAAGATCAAATATTGGTCAAAGGCCAAACATTCATGCATTCTGTTGGAACGCACTGATTTGAAATGAATTAGTGTTTTTTTCTACTCTTGGAGGGAAGTATGGGCATTAGCATTACAAGGATAGCATTGTTGTGCTGGAAGGGTATTTTTGTTCAAATATGTAGATGAACACTGTAAGTGATTTTTTTTGTAGTATTACTGTAGAGATTTAATGGAATATTTAGTACATAAGTTCATCCATATTAAAAACAAGCTCCAGAGCATTTTGGAAATCCTTGTCACTGTTTCACCATGTTTGAGTGTTCATGGTATTTAAGCAGATCCTAATTCTGGAAACTTTATATGGCTAGTCCACTGTACTTTTAAGTAGCACTTACGTGAGGTATTCCATCTAATTGGACACAGATCTTGCAATGACTTGTATGCATGCTTGACTTTATCTACTGTATACAATAAACCTGGGAGTTAAAGTTAAGTGCAAGGGTACATTTTGCAGAATCTCTATTTAGACTGTAACTTTTATTTTAGTTTTCTGTTTTATTAACTTTTTTTTTTTTTAATTAAATTTCTTGAACTATTTATTGGCTCAGCCATGAGCCTAGAATATGCTGAATACGCTCAACCTTTTTTGCATTCAGGAGAAGTTCAGGATTTTCACTGCCTGGGACCTAATGCCTGGTTTACCTTTCTTTTCCAGTTTAATTAAACTTAATGACTGAAAATTATTTTATATTACATTGCAGTTTTTCTTTAAAGGCCAGCCTGCAGTAATTGTGTAATTTCAACAGTTACTACTAGATTTTATTTGCCTTTTACATTCCCCTGAACAATAATTTACAATAATCTAAAAAAAGGTACTATAAATTGTAATATATTACCAAAGAGTAATTATATATTTTAACTAGCTTAGAACATTTTTTCTTTAGTTTTTATGGCATCTCAGTTAAAATGACTGAAATGTACAATCCAAACATAATAAGATTTTTGACTAGACATGGGCCCTACTGAAACCTCAGCTTTCAGTAAGCCTTAGAAATGAAGATTTCTGTTGTGGAAGCAAGGAGTCTAGTTTGCATCTTCCAGTTTCAGTTTGTGTGAGAAGGTATTGGGTTTTTTTGTTGTTTTTCCATCACTTTTTTTTTTTTTTTTTTGTGTGTGTGTGTGTGTATTGTCAGTAAATCACATTTATTTTTGTTCTTCTCATTTCTGACATTATAATTTA